CTGGTCGTTCTGTTTGTTACGCCTTTCAGTCATTGGGCTTTTATTATATAGGATTTTCATTTGCCAATCATACTTCAATAAACCTGGCAAAAATATGTTTACAATGTGATCTGAAAGTTGCTGCCAAAATGCCAGAAAGAGAAAATGAAACAAGGCCAATCACTCCATTCAAGCAGGATTTTTTTTTTTTTTCATGGAAGAGGCATTCCTTTTCTTTCTGGAGTCAGTGTTCCTTCTCTTTGAGGAAAATGAGAAAGTTTTGATTTCTTGGAGATAAAGAGCCTATTTTATACTAAGCACTTTATACTTCATTTCATCTTTCCATCTATTGTGCAATATTTCCCTCAGTATAAGGGAATGAGTGTCTTGATTCGGGGTATCTAACAAGCACTGGAGGCAGGATTCACACCCAAGACTGTCCCATTAAAAAGTGGGCCATCATGCCACAAAAACCCTTCAGGATAATGACTAGACCTAAACACTTGGGAGTATGATGTGATCATAGAGGAACATACATTTATGAATCAAGGAAAATCATTCAGTCTACCGAAAGCAGAAATAAAACAAAGAGAATGACTTGCATGCATATAATTATAATTCGATGCTAATTAATCTATTTACAGCATTTTTCTAAATGCTGTTGAAAATGTTGAAGTTGACATCCTCCTATGCTTTCCTGTGGCCGATGTATTGACTGGTACTCTGGAGCCCTCCCAGGACCCAGAAAGATCTGTTTTTTTCTGAGACGTTAGCAAGGCCAGAGGCCGGGAGCAGCACTGTCCTTGCTGTGCTGCCTTGTTCTCCCTGGCCTTCGACTTCCTGCCTCAAGTTCCATCTTCTCCAAGGTATACACTTGCCTTTACCCAAGTCACTTCACCTTTTACAATTTCCTTCTAAATTACAAAGGAGAATGGAATGCATCTTTAAAGCTTCTACAACTCTAACATTTGGTGACTTAAAACTTAAAGTACTCTTTTTATTTTTACAAAACATATTAGCATATTATTGGGGTTGAATAACCAGTTATTTTTAAAATTATTAGTGACATTCCAGCAGCCATGGAACAAAAATGAAGATTCTCAAATTGGTTACTCACCTATTATCAAAAAAAGTGGTTATTCAATGCATTTAAGCTCAAGTTTATTTAAAAACTAACTTCTAATGACTATTAAGTACATATTATTGTGTTAAAATTCAGCTACTGTTAGTAAGCCCATGAGATTCACCGAATACAAATCTACTCTCTAAGAATTAAAGACAGCACACTGTAAACTGCAATATTATTTCATGTAAATATAAAATTGTGATAGTTAAGCAAAATAATATAAGGAAACCTTTATGTAAAATGTTTGTTTTTCTTTTCTTCTTTTTTAAAATTGTATTTTGGTTATCCCCAATAAAAACAAAAATATTAATAACATTTTATACCTGCATGGTCTTTATGCTATGCAAAATACTTTCATAGAGAGTGGAGTAAAATTTATGTGGGGATTTTTTTTGAAGTCATTTCACATGTTGAAAATCTCATATGAATAAAATTACCCGTGAAAAAACCTTAGTCCATAAGGAATAGCATGCATGTTTTTATGCATATGTATGAAGGTAGTATTTATAGTGTATAAAATAAAATTAGTATACAAAATTCATTTCTGAAAATATTAATTGCATAAAAGAGGGCCAATACTTACGCATTTTAATTTCCTGGGAGAACACACATTATTTGCATAACATACATGCAAACATGATGCTATAGCACTATCTGAATTTCAAAACATCTCTTGAGAGCTACAGATTATATATCCTGACTAGAGGCCCAGTGCACAAATTCATGCACTGGTGAGGTCCCTTTGCCTGGCCTGCGCCCTCTCGCAATCCAGCCCCAGAGGGACCATGGGAGGTAGGCCAGGGAGGGATTGCAGGAAGGCTCCAGGGCGTGTCAAGCTCATCTGCCCAGTCCCAATTGGCCAGACCCCAGCAGCAAGCTAACCTACTGGTCGGAGCTCTGCCCCCTGGTGGTCAGTGCGCATCATAGCGACTGGTAGGATGGTTGAACAAATGGTCGCATGAATGGTCGGACACTTAGCATATTATGCTTTTATTATATAGGATGTGGAGGAAATGAGGCTTGTGGTAGTTTTCAAATTTGTGTAAAGCCTCAACCTAATAAGTGACAAAGCTACAATTTAAATCTTTAAAACTTCTAGTCCAGTTGACTTTCTACTATTTCATAATTGACTTTGTATTTATTTTACTTTTGATGAAGTAAATTTTTATAACCTCACTGAATTTTCCAGGCTTTATTACTACAGTTAATTTTCCCAGACAAAATTCTCTTCTTCAAATCATCAATTTCATTAATAATTAAGAAAGAGAAAAGGCAAAAAAAAATCATGTTCAATATGAAGTGTATTAATTTATTTAATCTGACTCCACAAACTAACAGTCTAAGTTTTCTATTAAGCTATTTTATATTTTTACTTGCAATGTATTTGTTTTTTTATTTATTTTTAATTGAATTTATTGGGGTGACATTGGTTAGTAAAATTACATAGGTTTCACGTGTACAATCCTATAACACATGAGCTTTACATTGTATAGTGTGTTCACCACCCCAAGTCAAATTTTCTTCCATCACCATTTGTGACCCCTTTACCCTCTCCTACCTTCCCTCACCCTCCTTTCCCTCTGGTAATCACCATAATGTTGTCTACCGCTGAGGGTTTTTTTTGTTATGTTTCGTTTTGTTTTTTGCTTAACCCTTTTACCTTTTTCACCCAGCACCCTCCCCCCACCCCTTTGACAGCTGTCAGTCTGCTCTCTGTATCTATGAGTCTGTTTCTATTTTGTTTGTTTATTTTGCTCATTACATTCCAAATATAAGTGAAATCATATGGTATTTGTCTTTCTCTGACTGGCTTATTTACTTGGGCAGGTTCATCCATGCTGTTATAATATTCTCTAGGTCCATCCATGCTGTCACAAATGGTATGATTTCCTTCTTTTTTATTGCTGAGTGGAAACCATTAACAAAATGAGAAGACAACCCACTGAACAGGAGAATATATTTGCCAATACATCTGATAAGGGGTTAATGTCCAAAATTTATAAAGAACTTATAAAACTTAACATAAAAAAACAAACAATCCAATTTAAAAAATGAGTAAAAGACCTGAATAGACACTTCTTCAAAGAGGATATACAGATGGCCAATAGACATATGGAAAGATGCTCAACATCACTAATCATCAGAGAAATGCAAATTAAAACCACAATAAGATATCACCTCAAGCCTGTTAGAATGGCTATATATGCACCCCTATGTTCATTGCAGCATTATTTACAATAGCCAAGATTTGGAAGCAGCCAAGTGCCCATCAGTAAATGCGTGGGAGAAAATCTGTGGTACGCCTACACAATAGAATGCTATTCGGCTACTTTAGATGTGTGAGACTTTTTTGGGTAAAGTTTTATCGGTTATAGTAATACATCTGAAGAGAGAGGAGGTAAAGTAGACATTTTATTGCCAATAAGGAGGCCACTATTTCCCCTCCTTGGCTCTGCCCCAAAAACAAATTTTAAAGTTTCCAAGAGAATCTGGATCAACTGATATGAGTAATGGTCGTTAGTGTTTTGGTTCTTATCTGTCAATACGCAAAGCCTTGTTTCAAGGGAAACTTTGTGTTTATGCTCTATAGTGAATCCCATGCAATGCCATTTTCTCTCTTGGAAATAACAGCAAATTATATGCTTTGGGATGCACATTGTACTTCAATAGATGGCTCATGAGAGCAACCAATTTTGGTCTTCCCAAAGACCAACATAAAGACGTATAAAGCTTTATTTCAATTTTTATCCAATTAATAGTCTGGCTGTGCAAGTAGGTAAGGTCACACTCTAACCTCCTTAGCTATATCTTCCACATAGGAAATAGCACAGTGGGAGATTTGACCATGTAGAATGAATAAATAATGCAACTGTGAATGTATTAATGTGGAAGTTATAGATACATATATTGAGTATGTATTGGAAATCAAGAAATTATGTTTATGGATTTTTTTCTGTTCTGATAGCTTGCATGTTGTTTTTCCAAAGCAGAGCAAACACCTACTGGAAGTAAGCCCTTATATCCTTTCAGCTCTTTCTATATGAATCTTTACACATTGAACCAATAGGCATTTTTAGACTTGATAATTATCTTAACCCATTATTTTTTAGAATGTTAAGTGACTTCCCCAGGAACATTCAGAACTGAGAGTAGAATGAAATTTTAACTAATTCATTGATTCTTGAAGAGGTATTGAAAACCCACTGCATGCCAGGAATTTTTGCTCTTTCACCTCATGGCTTCTATAATAATTAGGTAGGATTGTAGTTTTATTGGAAATGCATAATAACAAGCAAATAGCATAATTTGAGTCAAGGGCATGAGAGATTTCAGGTCTTGGTCAGGGTGAGAGACTTGCTGACAGTGATTATTAGGAAGAGAATTCTCAGACGCCGTCTTTCAAGCTGTCTGGCTGAAATAAGGCAATGATAGATGGTAACAAGGAGATCTGGAGCAAGTAAATCTTTACTGTCTCACCATGTGTTTTCTTTGGAGGAAATAGATTTTTCTCATTTCTAAAAGTGCTTACGTTTTCCTTTAGAAAACAGTAATACTTTTCCAAGTGAAAGAAACAGTTAATTCACAGAAAGTGGGTTATCTGTTGAGGTACACACACAGAATATATCATTATTCAATTTTCTTCTGAATTTTCCAGATTCACAGGATGGTGTTATGTTTTAAATATTTATTAAATGAGTTGTCTTCTAAGATGGAACATAAATTAGTCATTCAGGATATATATGAAGTAATAACCAAACTTGTATTAAAATTTATTTTAGATGCAAATCCTATATAATAAAAGGCAAATAGACTGAATATGCATATGCAAATAGACCGAATGGTGGAACAATAGAACAACAGTCACATACTGACCACCAGGGGGTGCACACAGAATATGGCGGACATCGGCAGAGACAGCAGAGTGCAGAACATGGCAGACATTGGCTGTGGTGTGATGGTGGAGCAGGTGAGTGGGGGGCGCTAGACCAAGGCGGGGCACCAGCTGCTGTCATCAGGGTGAGCCTCTGGTGGTTACTGAAAATTCTTTGCACCCACCTGGCGCTCACCCCTGCTGCCAGCGCCAGCCCCGCTCACACCCACTGCCTGTGCCCGGCGCTGGCCCCAATCGCTTTGCACTATCAACAAGTACAAGTGGCAGCTGCCAGCCGTGATCGCCCCTGAGAGCTTCTCTACCTCCCCCTGCTCCTGAGGGGCAATTGGGGCAGTAGCCGCCACTCACATCCGCTGATGGTGCCAGCCCCACTCACACCCACTGCTGGAGCCAGCCCCAATTGCTCTGCCAGCGTTGTCAGAGTGTGAGGGTGGTGGAGGTGCTGCCAGCAGACAAGGGACCAGGGGCTGTGGCGGGAATAGGCAGGGTGGGGGTGCAGAGGATGGTCAATACCCGCCCCTTTGCACACTGCAGCCTCGTGGCCCACAGTTACTTTCAAGGTGCATGAATTAGTGCACTGGGCCCCTAGTTTAGTTATAATGATTTATTGGCATAAATTGAAATAATAACTATTCTGTGTGAAAGTTCTTCACTGTACATGTACACAAGCTTCCTGGAGTTGGTAATATTTGAAGTTAGTGTTGAACCATAGAGAAAAGCAGGAGGCAGACTTGAGGAGAGAAAGTTGTTCTAAGAAAAAGAAAAAGCCTATCAAAATAGGTTTGTTTTTTTTTAAAAATATATATTTTATTGATTTTTCACAGAGAGGAAGGGAGAGGGATAGATAGTTAGAAACATTGATAAGAGAGGAACATTGATCAGCTGCCTCCTGCACAGTCCCTACTGGGGATGTGCCCGCAACCAAGGTACATGCCCTTGACCGGAATCAAACCCGGGACCCTTCAGTTGCCAGGCAGACACTCTATCCACTGAGCCAAACCAGTCAGGGCTATAAAAATAGGTTTATGTGGAAATTCCAGAGCACTACTTATTCTTTTGAAACTTGTTTGCTTCCTAAGGAAGTATTACTACCCTTTTCCTTTTAACCTCACTTTGTTCCAAATGGCTTCCTGCTCTTCCACCCTCACCCCACCTACAGCAAATGTACCAACTTGTGGTTTATAACTGACATTCTACAGTTTACCTGCTATGTGCAAACACTGGACTAAAACAAAGAAGAAATAAAAGACAAATAAAAAGAAATACAACTGTGATCCTCTTCATGTGACTTGATCACTACCAGCGTCTAGGAAGGAAAATCTATTCTTTGTCTTGAATTGTCTATCAAAGAGAGTTATATCTCACTAGAGCAGTGGTTCTCAACCTTCCTAATGCCGCAACCCTTTAATACAGTTCCTAATGTTGTGGTGACCCCCAACCATAAAATTATTTTCGTTGCTACTTCATAACTGTAATTTTGCTACTGTTATGAATCATAATGTAAATATCTGATATGCAAGGATGTATTTAGGCAACCCCTGTGAAAGGGTCGTTCGAACCCCAAAGAGGTCTCGACCCACAGGTTGAGAACCGCTGCACTAGAGTCTCTAGCACTATCTCTGAGAACCACGTGCTCTATCCCTAAAATTGATTGGTGCGCTTGAAAAATGCAAAATAAACACCTCTATTTTTTAATCTTCATCAGATAGAATGCACATCATCCCAGGTATAAAAGAGAATAACTTTTTTAGAAACCGGTATGATTTTAGCAATTAAAAATGACAAATTGTTATGTGGGGGGGGGGGACGGGGGGGACAGTGGGAAGGACAGCATGATGATAATCTCCCCTGATTCGTTTTGGAATCAAACAAGAAACTTAACATCTTTTTTTTTTCATGTGCAGACTATAGGAAATAAAGCATTAAGCTGGTGGTTGGTTGCCCCTCGAAATGCATTTTGGTCTCTGGGATGCCAAAAAGACTTGCATCCAGGGAGAAACTGTTATCCATTTACAAGCTCATAGTCTAATACCTGAAGCCCTTGGAACCAGAGATGTTATGGAATTCAGAGTTGGTCAATATTGGAAAGGCAAAATGGACAGATAGCAGAAATCTTCTTCCAAATCTGGGCCAGCACCCCCAAATTACATACATTCCTATTTCTGCTAAGAAATCTATAATAATAAAAGGGTAATATGCTAATTAGACCAAACATCTTCCGGACGTCATTCTAGACGTCCTTCTGATGAAGCCGGGCCCAAGGGAAGCCAGCCCGGGTCCCGGGTGCCTGCTGGCAGCCAGAGGAGGGAAGCAGCCCAGGTCCCGGGTGTTGGAGGGAAGCCGGTGCCAGCAGTCGGGGGAAGGAAGGCCTCCTCTTGTATGGATTTTCATGCATCAGGCCTCTAGTGTATAAATAATTCACACTGAGTGGAATAAGTAAAGACTATAAACAGGTCTGGTTTTACTGCTGAGTTCAGATCAGATAGAGCCACCAAATGAAAAACTTTTGGTTTTCAAAATAGTGAATAAAGCACTGTGACCCTGTATTACCTTAAAAAACAGGGAGCTAATTAGAGTTCTCAAAGTGTTCATTATGAGCAAATTAGTCATTGAATTTCCTCTCATAGAATATTAATTCTGCTTTTCTTAAAATAGGCTCTAGATGTATTCTAGGAGGCTTTAGTGGACTCTAAAAGTCATTCAATAGTTTAATGATGCTATTTTTGTCTATTTTAATCATTTTTATTATCTAGTCATGAATCACATGTTAGTTTTATTCTTACTGATTTCTAATGAACAAAATACGACAAAATTGAATGTTGGTATTTACCTGCTGCTTCCACTAAGCTATAGATTCAGTTGTCCACATTATTTGGTGTGTGCTCTTCTGGTCTGCTCCCTGTGTTGGTTTCCATCTACTTGTTGAGAGGGAGAATATTGAGGAGCTTATCCTATCTCAGCCAAATTCCACTAGATCCTCAGCTTGTGTTTCTCTGAACTATAGCTCCTGTGTTGCCAGGTAGTGAGAGTACCCCAGCCAGACCATCCTCAGTCCAGTTTTATCTGCAGTGAAAGGATCTCCCATAGTTTTTCTCTCCAAGAAGAGCATAAGATCAAATGGATCCCTCTCTCTGTACGTTTTGAGTAATCTCTCTTAGTACCTAGATAAATGCAGACTACCTTGTACAGAGAGCACCCTTAAATTCCAGAACCCTTGTAGCAGGAAATGGGCATCTTGGGCAGCCAGGCATCATGTACCTGTAAATGGAAGGGAATGACCCTTAGGTACTGGGGAGTTTGTGACAAATCACATGGGGATACACACAATAGCATAAGTTTATTTTTTATTATTGTGCATTTTTAATTTTTATATATATTTGGGCCTTGCTGGTTGAAGTCTTAGAGAAAAAGTAAGAAGATTATGAAATTTGCGCAAAACAACTCTCCCCTAAAAAGAGTTATTAACATTTTAAATACCAGGTACATTTAAAAGAGTTTTCTTCACATTTACATTTTTCTTGGGAAAATATTTATAAGTTAACTTTGCGTATTTGTTGCATTACGTTTTACAGAAAATGACACATAGAAGAATAAAATACTGTTATATTCCTCAGGGGATGTTCAATCTAGTGAGGGCAAAGGACTCATAAGCAGTCATTCTGATGTCTCTTCCTAAGAACTACAAGGTAGGGCTCTAAGGACGGAATACGTTGCCCGGGTATGAAAGGGAAGGGAAGGCATTGCAGGCAGCAGGAAGAGCAGCACAGGCGAAGCGCGGAGGTGGGGAAGTGCAGAGGACATCAGGTGTGGCTCGAAGCGGAGTGTTGGAAGGCTGCAGATGACCTTGAAACTGGAGATATAGAATAGAAAAGTGAATAAAATAGGTGACTAGCCCCAAGAAAAGTAATGCTGCTAAGAACTAGCTATTTCACAGCTTTAGCTCATTAAGGTACTTTGGGTTAAGCCAAGAATTTTCAGTGAGCCCTGGTCGGTGTGGCTCAGTTGATTAAGCATCCTCCCATGCACTGAGAGGTCGAAGTTTTGATTCCAGTCAGGGCACATGCCCAGATTGTGGGCTTCCCAGTAGGGGGAGTGCAGGATACAGCTTATGGATATTTCTCCCTCTCTCTGTTTCCCTCTCTCTGTCCCTCCCTCCCACTGTCCCTCCCTCTCTCTTCCTCTCTCTCTAAAACCAATAAAAACATATTTTTTTAAAAGAGAAATTTCAGTGATCTCTGTGAAAAAAAAAAGCACATAGTTAACCAAGACAGAAGTAGGAAGCATGCGTTGTTTATGACTTCAACTGATACCTAAATAGCATTATGGTTCTGGACATAGACTCCTAAGACAGGCTGTTTAGGTTCAAGTCTTGGTCACTAAATGTACTTACTGTGTGACCAAAGATATTTAGTTAACTTCATCGGGTATCCATCTGTGCATCTATAAAATAATAATAGCAAATATACCTTTCTCAGAGTTGTGAGAATTAAAAAAATTTATATATATACATATATACCCTATCTAATAAAAGAGAAACATGGTAATTAGCATATGACCGCTAACCTTCCCATTGGCTAATCAAGGCAATATGCAAATTAACTGCCAGCCAAGATGGCGGCCGGCAGCCAGGCAGCTTGAAACTAACATGAGGCTTGCTTGCTTCAGTGACGGAGGATTCCAATGTTCTCCACCTGCCGCTGCCGGCCTCTGAGCTGCAACTCTAAGCAACTATGTTACAAATATAGAAGCTAAGCAAAACCCCAGAAACCTTCTTTAGTCCACTGAGCTTCAGCCAGCAGGATTGCAACATTGTTTCAAATACAGAAGGTAAACAAAGGCCAGAAACCTGCTTTCAGCAGCAGAGGCCTAAGAGCTGGAGCCAAGCCTCAAAGCTAAAGCA